TGTAAATGGAATTGCTTTTTTAATTTATTTTTTGGCTTGTTGTTTGCTAGTGTATGGAAACAAAACTGATTTTTGTTTGTTGATCTTTAACCTGCAACTTTGCTGAATTAATTAGCTCTAGTAGCTTTCCTTTTGGGTTCTTTGGTATTGTTTATCAATAGGATCATGTCATCTGCAAATAGAGATCATTTTACAACTTCCTTTCTGATTTGGATGACTTTTATTGCTTTTTCTTGTGTAATAGTTCTAGCTCTAACTTCCAGTACAACGTTGAATTTCAGTGGTGAAAGTGGCCATTCTTGTTTGTTCCTAGTCTAGGGGGAATGCTTTCAGTCACTGACCATTGAGTATGAAGTTAACTTTTTTTTTAAACAGGTAATCTTTATTATGTTGAGGAATTTCCCTGTATTACTAATTTTCTGAGGGCTTTTGTCACAAAAGGGTTTTGCATTTTGTCAAATGTCTTTTCTGCACCAATTGAGATGATCATATGTTTTTTTCTCCTTTGTTACATTAACGTGATTGATTTTATGTTGAGTCATCCTGTCATTCCTAGGATGAATCACACTTGGTCATAGTGAATAACCCTTTTAATATCATATTGGGTTCAATTTGCCATTTTGTTGAGTCTTTTTGCATCTATATTAATAAAAGGACATTGATCTTTATTTTTTTCCATGTGATGTCTTTATCCGTATTTGGTGTCAGAATAATGCTGACTTCATAGAATGAGTTAGGAAATGTTTCTTCCTTTTCATTTTTTTCAGAAGAGTTTGTGGAGGATTGGTGTTAAGCCTTTAAATGTTTGATAGATTTCCCCAGTGAAACCATCTGGTGGTCCCTGACTTTTCTTCATTGGGAGATTTTTTTTTTATTATTGATTCAAGCTCTTTATAGATCTGCTCAGATTTTATTTCTTCTTGAATCAGTTTAGGTAATTTGTAAATTTCAAGGAATTTGTTCATTTCTTCTTGGTTGTCTAATTTAGTTGATGTATAATTCCTAGTATTTGATTATAATCTTTTTTATGTCTGTAAGGTCAGTAGATTTTAATTACTTGCACCTTTTTTCACTCTTTGTCTGTCAATTTGTTGATTTTCTCAAAGAATCAACTTTTGATTCCATTGATTTTCTCTATTGTATTTCTATCCTCTATGTTGTTTATTTCTGTTCTACTCTTTATTGTCTTCTTTCTGCTAGCTTTGAGCTTAGTTTACTCCATTTTCTAATTCCTTAAGGTGTAAGTTTAGGTTATTGCTTGAGGTCTTTCTTTATTTTCAATGTTGGCTGTGAATTTCTCTCTGAGCACTTCTTTCACTGCATCCCTAAGTTTTATATGTTGTTTTCATTTTCATTCATCTCTAAGTGTTTTCTAAATTCCCTTTTGACTCCCTTCTACTTTGAGCCACTGGTTGCTTGAGTACATTGTTTAATTTCCACATATTTGTGAATTTCCTAGTCTCCTGTTGATTTCTAGTTTCAATCCATTGTGATTGAAAAATACTTTGTATGGTTTCAGTCTTTCAAAACGTATTAAGACTTGCATTTTTGCCTAGTATATGGTCTATACAAGAGAATGTTCAAGAAAAATGTGTATTATGTTGTTCAGTGGAGTGGACTGTATATTTCTGTTAGGTCCAGTTGATCTATAGTTTTGTTCAAATAATCTATTAACTTACTTATTGTTTAATACATTATTGTAATTGATGTAATGAAATTCCCTACTATTATTTTAGAGCTGTCTCTTTCTAACTTCAATTCTGTCAATATTTGCTTCATATATTTTGGAGCTCTGATGTTTGGTGCATAAATGTTTGTAATTGTTATGTCTTCTTGGTGAATTGAACTTTCTATCATTATATAATATCCTTGTCTGTTGTAATAGTTTTTTTTACTTAAAGTCTATTTTGTCTGATATTAGTAATCATCCCAGCTCTCTTTTGGTTACTATTTACGTGAAATATCTTTTTCCATCATTTTACTATCAATCTTTTTTTTAATCTAAAGTGATACTCTTATAGATAGCATATAGTTGGATCATGTTTTTTCTTAAATTAATTCTACTAATCTTTGTTTTTTGATTACAGCATTGAACTCCTCACATTTAAAGTTAACTACTCACAAGGAGGGACTTCTGATATTTTCTTATTTGTTTTCTGTATAGGTTTTTTTGTCCTTCATTTCCACCATTGCTACCTTCTTTTGTGTTGATTTTTAGAGTAAAATGTTTCGATTCCCTTCTCATTTCCTTATGTGTATATTCTATAGATATTTTCTTTGTGGTTATCTTGGGGATTATACTTAACATCCTAAAGCTATAATGATCAAATTTGAATTTATACTAGTTTAACTTCAACAGCATACAAAAATTCTTCTTCTATACATCTTCATTCCCCCATTTTATGTTACTGATGTCACAGATTACATCTTTACACACTGTGTGCCCAAGAACACAAATTAATGATGAATTATATGCACTTGTCATTTAAATCATGTAGAAAATAAAAAGTGTAATTACAAACAAAATTAACATAACACTAGTCCTTTATAACTACCCATGTATTTACCTTTAACTAGGTACCATTACCTTTATCTTTATTCCTTTGTATGACTTTGAGTTACTATTTAGCTCCTTTCCATTTCAACTGAAGGACTCCTTTTAGCATTTTATGCAGAGCAGGTCTAGTGATAATGAATTTCCTCAGGTTTTTTTGGGGGGGGGTTCTGATGATATCTTAATTTCTCCCTCACTTATGAAGGAAAGTTTTGGTGGATATAGAATTCTTGGTTGACAGGTTTCTGCACTCCTCCCAAACCACCCTCACCCCCTCCTCCAGCACTTTGTCAATCCACTGCTTTCTGACCTCCAAGGTTTCTGATGAGAAATCATGTGATAATCCTATTGAGGATCCATTGTATTTGACAAGTTACTTCTGTCTTGCTGCTTTCAAGATTTTCTCTTTGTCTTCAGCTTTCAACAGTTTGATTTGTGTCTTGGTTTTGATCTTTTTGGCTTTATACTATTTGGTGTTTGTTGAAATTCTTACATTTATAGCCTGATGTTTTGCATCAAATTTGGGAAGTTTTCAGTTGTTATTCAAATTTTTTTTTCCTTTTTCTCTCTCTCTTCCCCTTCTGAGAGTCCCATAATGTGTATGCTGGCCCATTTAACGGTGTTCTACAGATCCCTTAGGCTCCATTTACTTTTCTTCATCTTCATTTTTTCCTCAGATTTGATAATTTGAGTTGTCCTATCTTCAAGTTTACTTATTCTTTCTTCTGCTTGCTAAATTCTGATTCTGAACCCCTGCAGTGCACTTTTCATTTCAGTTATTATACTTTTAAGCTTCAGAATTTTTGGTGAGGATATTTTTAAAAAATAATTTCTATTTTAGTGATATTCCTATTTTGTTCATACATCTTTTTCCTGTCTTTGTACATGTCTTCCTTTACCTCTTTGAACACCTTTAAGACAGTTGTTTTAAAGTCTTTGTTTAGCAAGTCTGACATCTGGGCTTCCTCAGGTACATTTTCTGTTGATTTACTTTGTTCTTTTGAATGGACTATACTTTCCAATGTCTTTGTATGCCTCATGATTTTTTTTATTGCTGTTGTTGAAAACTGGACAGTTTAATCTTACAATGTGTTAACTCTGGAAATCAAATTCTCTGCCTTCCCCAGTGTGCCTATGTCACAGATCAGTTTTTTTTTTAGATCAGTCTTGAGTTGAATGTTTAAAGGTGTTATGAGGTCTTTTCTAAGTCTCTGTCTTTCCCTGGTCATGCACAGTGGCTTTCTAGATTCTCCTGTATATATGGTTATTTTTGAATATCTAACAAAGCAAGTATGGCTCCTTTAAATCTCTTGGAAGCTGCTTTAGTTGGTAGAGGTTAGAAAAATAGTAGTCAACCTCCAGGTCCTCATCTCAGCATTCAGAGTAGCAATCCACTCCAGAAAGTTAGGTTGCTGTCCTTACAGCTACCTGCCATGAGGCGGGGTGGAAGGTGGTGGAGTGGGGGAATGGTGTGCTTGGAAGCCACTGCTGGGCTGATAGTTGAATTTTGCCAAAATTAACTGCAATTTACCAGCCAAACTGTCCTCTGGAAGTTGTATGTATTCAAATAAACCTAGAGACAAAATACTCACTTCAGACAGTTTCTGCCAGTGCAATTGTTGTATAGGTGAAGAAGGGAATTCTGGTGCTACCAACTCCACCATCTTCCTTCTCTCTACTGTAAACTTTCTAATATATTTTATGTGAATTTATATTTCAGATTTACTCAGGGATGGCTTTGGAGAAAATCCCCTTTTCTACTGCCTGATCGCAGAAGTACACACTCATCAAAAACCAACAAGTAAAATAAATCTTCCTCTTTCAATTTAATCTGTAGTATATTTTCTCTACCCTGAAAACAAAGTAGTTTGATAGCATATAATTACTATTAAGTAGAGGTGAAGACTGTAAGTATATAAATTCAGTCTTGTTTTTTAAAAGAGAAAATGTGTGGTATATACTTATGTTTGTATATACATAGAAAAACATTGGGGAAAGAATATACTCCACACTGTTAAAAGATGGTTTATCTCTTAAAAGTTGTATTATAAGGGACTTAAACCTTCTACATTATACATTTCTGTATTGTTTGAAATTTTGTATGGCAAGCTTTTATTACTTTAGTAGTTTTAAAAAAAACACACAGATATTCCATTTTGGAGGAAAAGAACATTAGAAGATTCAAAGCATTAACCTCTTTGTTCTCTCTTTCCTCTCCCTAGGTAAAGTGACTGTTGGATTTGCCATGTACTACTTTACATACGACCCCTGGATTGGCAGGTTACTTTACCTAGAGGACTTTTATGTCATACAAGCTTACCGAGGTCAAGTAACACTTATAGTATTACTTATAATTAAAACATTTAAATGGTATATTTTAAATTATGAAGCTTTAGTATAAAGATGGAGTTTAAGTTAGTTTATGTAATTCATTTCTATTCCATGATCTTGATCACTATCCTAGTTATCCTTGCATATGGTAAAGACTCAATCACAGATTAGAAAAAGATTTACTAGTTCCCATCAAGGCTTGAATAAACCAAGTTATAACTATACTTTTATCTTTAAAAAATGATTTTGCATTTTGTGTTGGTTTATCTACAAGTAAATAAGAAGTATACTCTGTGATAAAATGATAGTGACAAGGACTCATTTCCTTTTCACTGATCATTAAAATAAATCTAAAATGTTTTCCATTACCTTTGGAACCACACTCCAATTAGGAATAACAGATATGAAAAACATCCATGAGTTGAGTTTCAACACAAGCTATTACAAATATATATATACTATATATATACACATACACACACAAATATATATACCAGATAGAGTTCTATATTTTATTTCTTTTAAACTAAAGCAAATAACTTGCTAAATGGAATTTTTCAACTCATGTTTTTTTCATTTTGCATTATCTATTTAAAAGGTCTAGGTATTGGAGCTGAAATGCTGAAGAGGCTAAGTCAGGTATATATTGCAGTTAGTATTGCTATTCTATATGCTGTCCTTTCCTTCATTAAATATTATTTAACCTGGCATAAAGTAGATAATTTATCTTACCATCTGAACATAACCTCAAAATATACTTTTTTATTCCAATTAAACTGGATTTTCAAATCAGTTACTCATACAGGTCAAATTTATGTCCAGGTAAAAGCTGAGTTCTATTTAATCCACAACCACACTATATATCTTTTTGCTATAAAGCAGAAGTAAGCAAAAGGGATATTAGAAGGCAATTTTACCCCAAAAATAGGTCCATAGTATGAATATGAGAACAGTGTAAAAACAAGATCCTTTTGGATTTTGGAAATATATATGAGAACTTTAGGTAAACTTTTTCTATAGAATAAGAAAAAACAGTGAGTTGGATTTATAGGAAAACCAATATATGGACTTGGCAAACGAGTTGTGGACTTCTACCAAAGAAAGGTTTTTAAAGCTCAATAGGACTTTTTTCTTTTTACAGATTTAGAGACGCCCAAGAGATAACTATCATATTATTATTTGGAAGTATTATACACACACAGTGCCTTGCATGTAGTAGACCTTCAATAAACGTGTTAATGAAGACTATACTTTCAAGTAAGATTAATTTCCATTTGTTTTTAAACAGATAGCCATCAGAAGCCAATGTAGCTGCATGCACTTTCTTGTCGTCATTTGGAACCAGGCTTCTATTGACTACTACACTCGTCGAGGGGCTTTAGACCTTTCCTCCGAGAAGGGCTGGCATCTGTTCAGGTTTAACAGGGGAGAACTCATGGACATGGCAGGGGAAGAGTGAAAGATGACTCATCACGCTTTCTCACAACATAGGCTCCAACATTTGAATGTCACCTGAGCCCAACAGCAGTCTGACTTTGAGTGTTGTACAATACAGCAAGTGACAAAACTCTGGTTTGAGCAGATCTTTTACTTTGACACAGATTTTGTAGATAGTCAACTCTCCATCACCGAGACTAATATACTAATGGGTAGTAGCAGAACTGATGATTCAAAAGAGCAGATAATTCAAAAATCACTTATATTTGGCTTTAGTGTTGGTGGCACAATATCATGTACACACAAACACCATGCAGAGAGAAGTGAAGCAGTTTTCTGTTTACTGATTTTTGGAAAAGGGTTTATATAGGACATGCACAATGCCTCACATATCATCTAAGTTATGACAATGTTAATAATCTTAATCTATTTAGGTCCCCAAGTTCCTGCAGTAAGCACAGGCTGTTACATGATCAAGGACAGATTATTTTA